TTTTATATAGCTTCAAAAACATTGAACCTACTGATGCCTCAGATAATGTGCCGTATATACTCGAGTATAAGCCGGCCCGAATATAAGCCGAGGCACCTAATTTTACCACAAAAAACTGGGAAAACTTATTGACTCGAGTATAAGCTGAAGGTGGGAAATGCAGGAGTTACTGGTAAATTTCAAAATAAAAATAGATATCAATAAAATTACATTAATTGAGTCATCAGTTGGTTAAATGTTTTTGAATATTTACAGAAAACTGTAATTTAAGATAAGTGTCCAGCTCTGATTGAATCATTACTCTAATCCTCAGTGTAAATGTGCTTATGTATCCTTCCGATAATAATAAAGATCGTAAAATAATAATAATAATAATAATAATAATAATAATAATGAAATCCAGCATATATACCTTGCTGTGTCGTACTGTGTTTTTCTGTCAGGATAATAATAGAGTAAAATAATGGAAATGTAATAACAGTGATAACAGACTAAAATTATAAACGCAGTAACAATAAAAATAAAGTAAAATAATCAATGTAATAATAAATAATAATACTAATCACAAATAGAGTAAAATAATAAGTGTAATATAATAATAAAGTAATGTAAATAGAATAATAATATATTAAAATAATTCACGTAATAAAATGATACTAATAACAAAGTATAATAACAAATAACCTTGACTCGAGTATACGCCAAAAGGAACTTTCTCAGCCCAAAAAGAGGGCTGAAAAACTAGGCTTATACTCGAGTATATACAGTAATTTTATTGGTATCTATTTTTATTTTGAAATTGACCCATATTTACTGCATTTTCCACCCTCGGCTTATACTCGAGTCAATGCCTTTTCCCAGTTTTTTGTGGTAAAATTAGGTGCATCGGCTTATATTCGGGTCGGCTTATACTCGAGTATATACGGTATTCAGCTCTGAGCATCTTAAAGTTGTTACTAGTCTTAACTACGATTTAGGCTGGATCTACACTGCCATACGATCCAGTTCAGAGCAGATAATCTGGATTCAGAGACTGGCTTATATGGAAGTGTAGGTGGGGCCTTATTGTGGGTTTCTCTGCTGTTCCTGCCTAATCTCTTTCTTCTTACATTCAGAAACCTTCTGTGGCCTTGTTCTCTTATCTCTCTGTTCTGAGAGGCCAGCACAGTTCTTTCTTGCAACCTTTGCTCTTTAAGCTAAAAGGGCTTCCCGATAAGTCAGACAGCTCCTGTTGTGCTAAATAAACAGAAATTTGTAGAAAAATGGAGTTTGGAACATATTGACCAGCTAAAGCATGGTAGGAATTGTGCCATCTTGTAGGAGTTGCAGTTCTACAATGTTTGGGGGAATGGTCCAATTCCTACATTTGAGTTTAAGTTGAGATATAAAAATTAAAAACAGAATCATTTAAGGTTCTCGCAATTACTTTTTAAACAGGAAGTGTGTTCCTTGTAGTCCTTGCACCGACATTATTTATGTATTTCTAGTATTTCAAGTATTTCTATCCCGTCTCTTCTCTACCCCCGAAGGGGAACTCAGGATGGTTT